TGTTATAAAAAATAGCAGCCAAGGTGGATTATAGAAGTGAAGCAGGGACAAAGTTCAACCACAAAGGGAGGCCCAGATAGTTCCAGGACTTGCCAGTCCCCAGGTGAGGGGGCGGTTCAAGGTAACATCAGAACCACTCTTGTGTTTTAACTGTTTTATGTGTGGGGAGGGTATGTATTATTAAGCCAACTCCTAGGAAACTATCAGGCTGTGCTATCTAATACAGTAGTCACTAGCCACGTGTGGCTATTTACATCTTGGAATGTGACAAGTTTGAAGTTTGAATTTAAATGTGCTGTAGGTGTAAAATGCACATCAATTTGAAGCTGGACTGTTCAATAAGGTAGTCACTAGCCACGTGTGGCTATATTAATTATAATTAAATAGAATTAACAATTCTGTTCCTCAGTTGCATTAGCCACATTTCAAGCACTCAATGGTCACATGTGGCTAGTGGTTACCATTGCACAGTGCAGATAACATTCTGTTATCACAGAAGGTTCTACTGGATAGCACCCAGAGGATAGGGGTGAAAATGCCAGTACCAGTGGAGAGCACTATGGGTGGTTATTACCATATTGAAGGGTCTGCCCTGGAAATGGGCTCCTCCCCTTGGGGTGGGCACAATGTTCCCTACTGCTTAGGGTTAGGTAACTCAGTCCAAATCAGGCAGCCTGTTTCTTTTTTTTTTTTTGAGACAGAGTCTCACTCTTTTGCCCGGGCTAGAGTGAGTGCCGTGGCATCAGCCTAGCTCACAGCAACCTCACGCTCCTGGGCTCAAGCGATCCTCCTGCCTCAGCCTCCCGATAGCTGGGACTACAGGCATGCGCCACCATGCCCGGCTAATTTTTTCTATATATTTTTAGTTGTCCGATTAATTTCTTTCTATTTTTAGTAGAGACGGGGTCTCGCTCTTGCTCAGGCTGGTCTCGAACTCCTGAGCTCAAGCAATCCGCCCGCCTCGGCCTCCCAGAGAGCTAGGATTACAGGCGTGAGCCACCGCGCCCGGCCCTCTGTTTCTTGATTGTTTAGAATAACGAAGTGGTTAAGAGCATGAACCGTGGAGCCGATTGCCTGAGTCCAAATCCTGCCTTCTCCAATTTCTGAGCAAGCTATTTGGATTCTCTGTGCTTATTCCACATATCAGATGGGGTTGTTAACAGTACCTATCTCATAGGGTTGTTGTGAGGAATGTAATCGTACATGCAATGCTTAGAACAGTGCATATATAGGGTATGCCTTACTACTATGATGTATTGGTTTTATAGCATCATACTGTTTTCTCCGGTGTTTAGAGGTAGGTTACTACCATTAACTACACTTTGCAGATAGGAAAACAGGCTCAGAGAGATTCTAAACTAGCACAGGGCCACATGGCCCATAAATGGCAAAGAAGGGATTCAGACACTATACTATCCTGCCTGCCACGAGTGGAAGGGAGCTTTGGGGATGAGTCAGGAGTCCCTATGGAAGAATGAGGGGGGTCAGAAGAGGCAGTGCAGATGAAAGGCTCCCCCTCTCCTTGGGTCTCCCTATCCCTCTCCCTTTTCCTTTCAGGGACCTTAACCTCCAGGAGAAGCACTCAGTGGTGCTGAACAGAATTGCTGCCCGGGAGGTACCCATCGAGATCAAGCCAGTAAACTCACCCACCTTGAACCAGCTGGAGCCTAAACAGATGTTCTGGGTGCGAGCCCGGGGCTATATTGGTAAGAGGAATGGAGGAAAACACTCTCCGGGGGTCTAGGCCTGCCACTCATTTGCCATGTGGCCTTGGGCACATTACTTCCCCTGTCTGGGCCTGTTTCCTTATCTGCATGATGGGCAAGTTGGCTCAGCTTCTCATCGGGCCCTCTCAGTCCTTTGCATGGGGAGAATGAGTAGGTGACTATAATCCCAATGTGGGACCTTCGTGGGGATGGCAAGGCACCTCGCTGAGGTTCTTATCCAGGTCTGCTGCTAACCTTAAGGTGCCTTTGTGCAAACTGGAAGATAACCAATCTCAGCAGCCCGGTGTGGGAGACTTGGGAGTGAAGACTAGATTTGAGTCCTCACTCACCTTTGCCCTCCCAACCTCCCCTATCCTGTCACTCACACACACACCTTTGGCCAGGTGTCCTTGTGCAATGACTGGTCTGCACATCCATGCATGGGAGCACCCTTTTCCCCCACCTCCCTGCAGGTCCTGAGCTGGAAAGCCCAGGATCCCAGGGCTGATGGGGACCCATTGCAGGGGAGGGCGACATCAAGATGCACTGCTGCGTGGCCGCCTATATCTCGGACTATGCCTTCCTGGGTACTACACTGCTGCCCCACCTGTGGCAGTATAAGGTGCACTTCATGGTCTCGCTGGACCACTCTATGTGGTTCCACGCCCCCTTCCGAGCTGACCACTGGATGCTCTATGAGTGCGAGAGCCCCTGGGCTGGTGAGTGTGGGGTTGTGTGGGACAAGGGCACTGACTTTGGGGTGGCAGGGGGCCTACTTTCCTGGGTAATGTTGCCTCCCCCTGGCCTCCTGTGCTGTGGGGCACTGCACAGGTCACTTCCTCTGTCCCCCAGGCTCTGGCATCCTCATCTTCAAGAGGACAGGGTGAGGCTCGATCGAGGCTGGAGGCCAGGACACCTGCTCAGCTCTAAATTTCTATAACATGCTAGGAATATGATTCACTTTATCTCAGAGACCCTGTTCTAGTCCCAGAGCCACTTCGGATTCTCTGTATGAACTTGGGCAAATCCTGTCTCCTGTCTGAGGCTGTTTCCCCATGTACACAGATAGGGTTACATTAGAGCAGTAATATCCAAACGTGGCAGCCCACCACACTGCCACTTCGGGGAGCTTTTTCAAAGTAGATTCTGACTCCACCCTCAAGATTCTGACTCAGCAGGTCTTGGATGAGGTCCAGGAAACTGTATTTTTAAGCAGCTCTCTAAATGACTCTACTGATAACCTGGTTGGGGATCAGGGCACTAAGGGCCTAACCATTTGGACTCTCCTCACAGGGGATGGAGAAAACCCCGACTCAATCCTCAGTGCTTCGTGTCCAGCTCCAGAACTCTGGCTTCCTTTCCAAGGAAGAACATTTCAGATGAAGCAAGGCCTTGCTTTATAAAACAGGGACAAAACTTAAGGACTCTAATACTCAGATAAGGGGTACTCTCAAGTACTAATAGCATCACAATGAAAGATGAACAACCTTGAAGTCAGGACACTTGGGTTCAGGTTTAGCCTGATCCTGGAGCCAAGTTCCTGAGCCTCTCTGGACTATGGTGTCATTGTCTGGAAACTGGGACAACAAATGCCTGCTTCATTTGGCTACTCTGAGAACTAAGTGAGCTCTGCTATGCGTAAGGGAAATCGGCAGTTCTCTTTATAAACATCAAACTCAGGCCCAAAGCCAGCAAGGGAGAAAGGATCTCCAGGTGGGAAGGGTGGAGAGGCCAAACCTCATGGCCTCAGGTCCTCTCCCCAGGGCCCCTTCTTCCCCTTGGTGGTGGCACTGGTGGTATTTTTTTGATGAATTACTGCTTGGAGGACCCAGCTTGATTTATTATAAAGGGAACTGATGGGTTTCCTAACACAAGTGGCCAGAGGTGCGCATCTTCTTAGCTAAGCTATCGAAGGAGACTGTTCTCAGAGCTCCACCTTCTGTGATCTTTTTGAGGAAGCCAGCAGATATATGAAAGTGCTTTTAAACGGTAAAGTGGTGTTGCTGTAGGAGGAGTCACCCCCCAACAACTGTCTGGAACACAAGCTCAGAAAGAGGTGACTGGAGATTGGGAGCAGCCGCAACACTCAGTGTGCCCTTGTGTGGGGCAGCCCTGCCCTGGGCCAAACCCTTTTCAAGAAGCGCCTTTGGCTGTGCTGAAGCAGAGAGAAGGCCATTCTCACCCTTCTCACCCACAGGTGGTTCTCGGGGGCTGGTCCAAGGACGGCTGTGGCGTCGGGACGGAGTCCTGGCTGTGTCCTGTGCCCAGGAGGGCGTGATCCGAGTAAAGCCCCAGGTCTCAAAGAGCAAGTTATAACCAGAGGCACCACTTGGCCGGCAGCTTCAAGGACCTACCTCCCTTCCACCACCGCTCCTAAGGCAGGAGTTACAGTCCTCCTGGCCCTCAAATCCAATAAAGAGACTGATAGCACTGGAGTGGCTGGCCTTTAATTCCCCTGGGCTAGAACTGCAGCCCTCCTTTCCTTCCTCGACTGCAGGACTCCAGGGGCAGAGTCCCCGGCCCTTCAGCCAGGCTGCCTCGCTGGCTTGGAGGCTCATGGACAAGGTAACTCTGACCCTGACCTGTGCCACGGCCCCGTGCTGTTTATCAGCTAGAGAGGCTGTGTCAGACTTCTTCCCTGGACCATCCTAGGGCAACCCCAGCCATAGCTCACCCTGAGCCCAGCTCAACAGAAGAAGTAAATTTCCTTAGTCTGCTGCACGTTCCCTTTGTGGAACTTCTAGAGGCTCCCAGCACCCCCTGCAGCCTCCCAGCTACTCTGCACGTCCTCATCAGGGCCTCCCCCAATAGTGGTCTTAAGACAAGGCAAGGGTTAATCCAGCACCTCCTTGATAAGCAATTCTTTGAGACTAGGGGGTGGCGTGGGGGTAAGACCTGCCTCCTGCAGGGCCTGAAGTCGGGCCTCTGACTGGCGTTTGTCCAGACCCAGGCGCCAGGAGAGCCGGACATGGGCCTCTAGAAAGGGTGCCAGCAAAGGGTGGGGGCTCTTGTCCCCCAGCAGTTGCAGGGCCCTTTCACAGCATGCCCGGGCCTCCCTGGGGTCCTCCAGCTCTTGGTGGCACACAGCCAGCCCAGCCAGGGTCAGCAGGGGGCGGTCTGGGCCAGAGGGGGTGCCCAGCTGGGCCTGCAGCTGCCAGGCATTGGCCCAGAGTGCCAGAGCCTCACGATAGAGGCCAGTACAGGTGAGGCTCTGTGCCCGTCGCAGCTCTGGCAGCACAAAGAAGTCCTGCAGGTCTGAAGCATGTCGCAGCTCAGGTACTGAGTGTAGGTGGCCCAAATACTGCTCAAAGGCCTGGCTACGGCGAGCAATGGTCTCCGCAGTAAAATTCCGGCGCAGGCGCTTACGGGGGAAGGAGATGCCAGCCATGGGGCCCCGGAACTGCCGCTGCAGGTTACGGTGCAGCCGTTCAAAGTCGGAGTAGCGGCGAGAGATCTGGGCTGGCTGGCGATCAGGCGGCCCTGGACCCATCACGGCGAGGGTGTAGAGCTGCAGGGAGGGTGGGTGTCAGGGCAGGTGCGAGGTATCCACGGGCCCCTTCCTTGCGCACCCCCCACACTCCCAACTCTGCTTCCCCACCTCTTCCCTTCCTCCCTGGGACTGGGCCCAGGAGGGTAGGAGCTGCTGGGGCAGCAGCTAGAGACCCCAGTCCCATCTTACCTGAGGCTTGTCTGAAATGACCCAGGCCCAAGGCAGCACAGGGAAAGAAAGACAGAAGTGAGCTTCAGTGCCGGGCTGCTGCCCTTTTACCCCCCCGGGATGTCCCCTTCCAGTAGGGCGGTCAGTTCTTCTGACAGCCGCTCTGGAAAACCAGGTGTGAAACCCAGGCCTCTGAGCCAACATTTAAGACCAGCTTGGAGCTGTGTTCCACTCTGGACGCCTGGCCCCCACATCCCTGGCCAGGCTATTCTGAAGCAGACCCGGAGGACAGGTCTTCAGACAGCCCCAACTGTGATAACTCTTACAAGGATACTGAAGTTGGACTCAGGCTCTAACCCCAGGTCACTACTCCCTCCCTGTCTGACCTCAGGCAAGACAGTCCCCCTCTGGGTCTACTTCCATCTCTAGTGAATGAAATGCCAGGTCAGGTGTTTACTCAAGAATGGGATGTGCGCAAGTGTCGGTACCTGAGGTTTCTAGGTGGTGCACGCTAGAGTAAATAACACTGCATCAGGACAGGAGGCGATTCCCCCTTAATTCTTCTTTAATCTTTCTGACTACAAATTGAGAAGCTCTCAGTTTGGTTTTAAAAAAGCACTTCTCTAACACTTCTCACATCCATTTTTAGAAAAGAGCCAGAAAGCGAATCTCAGGTCAGGGCCTTATTCAGGCAATAGCATCTAGGCAGGATTTAATGACACTGTTTCATTTTCTCTACGTTTATTTTTATGGCTAGCTACTCTCTATGGCAAGTGAGGCTTTCCACATACAGTAGTGCTATAAAGTTGGCTTTTACACTTATTTAACAAAAAAAGATAGGTTCATTTAAAGAAAAATGGTAAGCAAAGAATGGTACAGGTAGCATTTTAGGACAAGAATCATGACGGTGGTCCTGACTGACTGAGGTTTGGGAAACCCTGAACAAGGTGACTACTAAGCTCTGCCCCGACCCGCCACCCCTGGGTCTGAGAACCTAAATATGGATTAATCTACACTAATGCTGAGCCAACAGGTTTAAAAGGGGAGTTAGCAAGCATTAGATGCTGGAGGCATACGAACACCAGATTTTTCTCTCAAGTTTGTTCTGTGGAGCTGACAGTATTCTAGCCACCGCTGGTCAGTTAGGTTTGTCTACTCTTCTTTCTCTTGAAGATTCACCAGGTACGTTAAGGATTAAAAAGTTTAACAGTAAAGAAACCTATTTTGCTCTCATTCAACTCTGCATTCCCCAAACCTATTGCCTGTAAAGCCTTTTTCTGCAGGACGCACTGCAGGACAATTTTCTTCAAGACTCACTGGTCTAAAAATAACCCCTTATGTTCATTTAGCTTTTATTTTTATTGTTAATTTTTTTGGCCAAAAAACTCCATCTTATATCCATTATCTCATCTGATCCTTGTAACGTCCCACCAGATGGGTAGTAATGACAGTAGTTCCATTAACCGAGCACTTACCCTGTGTCTCGTGCTGTACCAAGCACTTTTACATCTGTGATTTCATTTAATCATCACAACAGCACTGCAAGGAAGATGTCTTTATCTCTGGTTGACAGCTGAGGAAGTAGGCTCAAAGTGAAAGGGCTCAGACTTGCCCTAAGTCACATGGCTGGTAATGGCCCAGCCGGGATTCAAACCCAGGTCGATCTGATTCCACCCTGTGCTCTTGACCTCCAAAAGTTATATAAAGACTTAGGGTTCCCCTTGTAGAGAGGAGGTAACTTCCTTCTCCAGACATGAGCCAGGGTCATCCTGCTCTATCTTGTCATTCTCTTCCCATCTGGGTACCCAGAGTCACCCTCATTCCTCTCTGCCCCTGAGCTGCTCCCTGGGGACTGATCCTTGGTGTCCCCTTCCTGCATATGACCCCTTGTCCGCCCCAGAGCTCTGGGACCTTTGCCACTTAAGCCTCAACCACTGGAGTCAACCCCTGCTCAAATTAGAGCAGTCACCCCACGGGCGTGGCTCTCATTTACTAACAGCAATAGAGAGGGATGCAGAGGCCCAGATGTGGGACAAGGCTCCAGGCCCCCTTCCTGCTGAGTCAGAGGTGGAGGAGGGTGGTGAAGAGGGGAAGAGTGTGAGGCAGAGAGCTGCCACTGCCGGGAGTGGTCAGCTCAGCTGGGTTTCAGGACTGGCCGGGTGCAGGACCTGGCATGGTCCTCATTCTCCATGTCAGTCTCTCCTCCCCACAGCAAGGAAAACAAGAGCTCCAAGGCTGTTCCCTACCCTGCTCTTCACCCCAACCCCCACAAACCCCCTAAGTCTAGCCCTTAGGACAAGATTAATCTGTGCAAGGTGGTGCTCGAGAACTGATTCACCTGGGTTACAAGGAGGCTACGACAGGCCCTAGATGCCAGACGTTTTCAATCCAAAGTTAAATAATAAAAATATAGCTACCATTTTATTGAGCACCTCCTAATGTCAGGCACAATGCTAAGGGCTTTTTGTGCACCGTCTCACTTAACTCCTGCTTTAATCCTGTGTGTTATCCCCACTGCTCAGATGAGGACACGAGGGTCATCAAGGTTATACATCTCACCCAAAGTCAACAACTTGTAATAAGTGGGATGAGAAGCAAGGTTGGTCTGGATCCAAAGCCCATTTCCTTAACCACTAACCCATGAAACTTCTGTGTCAAGTCTGACCCAGATAATATACTTCCCTTTGTATCGTGCATCTTGCTACAGTTTGCAAAAACCCTGTGGGTGGGGTCAGGGAGAACACATGCCAGTTCTCTCAGTCTCAAAACCAGGATAAAAGGCAGGTCCTTAATCTCCGCTTTACTCAGTTTTAAGAAAATTAAGCCATTTGCTTGAGGACTTGCTAGAGTGACCTCCCATTTCTGGCCTCAGTTTCCCCATCTGTAAAATGGGGCAGCCATTTATAACTACACAGTCAGATCCCTCAGGAGGTTGGACTCTTCCCTACTTTCTCTTAGCCACGCTTCTAGCCCAGGGGTTCCTGGACCTTCACTCACCACGTACTTGGAGGGCGGGTCCTTGACAACGTTGGCGCTGGTCACCTCGAAAAGCAGCCGCTGGGGTACCAGGGTGTTCCGGGACTTCTTCCAGAAATCCTGCAGCTGCCGCGCCAGGAGCTGACTGCCCCGCTGCCCATCAGGTGGGGGGCTCCGTTCTGCACAAGCACATGACCAGTCATATCTACGGGCCTGGGGCCGGGGTCGACATAAACGTGTCATGACCTCACTCATCCTCCCAACGTGAGGTGGGCGTTATCCCCATTTACAGAAACGGAAACCGAGGGCCAGAGAGGGCCTGGGTGCCAAACACCGTGCCTGGAAGATAGTAGGGGCTACACAAATATCTCCATCCCCAAACTTCGCCAGCACATCATTATCATTTGTATCCCAGGCCCTGTACATTTAATGCCTGCAATAACTCTGAGATGGGAGTGATTTCTCCCATTTGACACAAGGGAAAACTTGGCTTAGAGAGGTGTTGTGTCTCTCTCAAGGTCACACAGCCAAGAGGTGACTGGGGACTCTTTAAGAAGTGTGGGAGTTTCGGCTGGATCAACTCAGGGCGCCCAAGATGCTCTCGCCAACGCGGCTGGGATGGAGGCCTACTCGAGGCCCAGGGTTCCCGCCTCCGTCCTCCCGCACTCGCCTGCGTCTTCTCCAGACGCCCCATCCCCGGGGGGCAGCGGGTCGGGGTCAGCCTCCTCGTCGTCCTCGTCTTCGTCGTCCTCGTCGTCCTCGGCGCTGGTGAAGCTGAGGGTGCCGCTGAGTCGGGAGGACAGGCCCTCGGCGTCGTCGTCCTCCAGCTCTGAGCTCTCCGGGAACTGCTCAGCCTCGGGCCCGACTGTCGCCTCCCCGGGGCCGTCGCCGGCCAAGGCGTGCCGCAGCCGGTGCAGGAGCCTTGAGGCCATGGCACCCTGGGGGGAGCGCCGACGCTGAGTCCCGGGCTCGGGCGGAGCAGGACCCCCGCCCCGCGCTGGAGGCGGGGGGAGGGGCGGGGCGGAGGAGGAGGGGCGCGGCGGCGGCTCCGCCTCTGGCTCCCAGGGGTCCTGCGAGCTGGGGACCCAGCCTGGGAGTCGGCCCGCGTCGCGGTCCCCCCAGTCACCCCACGCACACACAGCCTAGGGCCGCGTTCTTCCCAGGAGAAGCCTGGGACCCTCCGCACGCCTCTTTCTGCCCGCTGCGCGCCTATACCTCCTGTGTCCCGCGGTGCATTCAGGGGCGCGCAGCCCCCCGCGGCTCACCAAGGCCGGCGGGACTCTGCCCGGCTCCGCGGAGCCCAGGCAGCTGGGAGCGCCGCTCAGGCCTCTTCCTGCCGCCGCCCCGCCTCCTGCCCCGCCCGCTCTCTGAGCCGCGGCGAATCCCGGGCCCTTCGCTGCAGGAGGGAGTCGGGAATCCTGGCTCCGCCGGAGGGAGCCCCAGGCCTCCTGCGGAATCCTGCACAATCCCGCCCGGCGCGTGCCCTCCTTGACTCCTCCCACCCCGCCTGGAGACCCAGGTCTGCCCAATCTACCCCCCTAATTTCCACCCAGCGCTCTTCAACTTTACAAAGTGATTATGTGACATCAGGGAGCCCTTTTCTCTGGTGAGGCCAAGAGGAGATGTGTGATTTGGGTTGGAATCTGACCTCGCTAAGCCTAGGTTTGCTCATCTGTAAAATAGGAACCATAATACTAAAACTAATTTTGCCACTCTTATAAGAACCCTAGCTCAGGCTGGGCGCGGTGGCTCACGTCTGTCATCCTAGCACTTTGGGAGGCCGAGGTAGGAGGATCGCTTGAGGTCAGGAGTTCGAGACCAACCTTTGCAAGAGCGGGATCCCATCTCTACTAAAAATAGAAAAAATAGCGGGCGTGGTGGCATGCCTGTAGTCCCAGCTACTCAGGAGGCTGTGGAGAGAGGATCACTTGAACCTAGGAGTTTGAGCTTGCTGTGAACTAGGCTGGTGGGACGGCGCTTTAGCCAGGGTGACAGAGCGAGACTCTGTCTCAAATAAAAACCTAGTCCAGTGCCTGGGATAGAACAGGGGCTGACGAAATGATCAGTTACCTAATGATTATTGTTTCTACAGTGTGCACAGGTTTTCACAATCTCATTTGAGCCTCACACATGGGAAGTAGGCAAACGGGGAAACTGAGACCCAGAGAGGCTGAGTTACTTAGCCAAAGTCACACAGCTTGCCAAAGGTTCTGAGTATGGCTCCTTGGAGCCCAGGTGCCCTGGGTTTCGCATGCTGTTCCTTTCCTACATGGCAGGCCTGGTCGCTTCAGCAGCTCTCTGGAGCTCTGTGTTTCATCTTTTACCCTGAGAGCAGCAGTAGGTCAAGAAGAATTTATTGTGGTTTCCTGTCAGAAGGCCTGGATATCAGTCCTTCGTGGGGCAGATTCTGATAGTTGTACGATAAAACAAAATCAAAATCTCTCTGCTAGTAGCTCCTACGCTTTTCGAGTGGCACAGGAGAGAGGGGCGAGGGACATCATTTTGAATGAACAGAAGGTATTTCTGCTCCCTGCCCTTTCTATGAGCGGAAGGGCTGGGCCTCTCAGTTTTTGAGGATCCGACGTGTCCTACATCCTGTTATAGGCATTTTACATATTGTCACATCTCACACTCACAACATCTTGGGGAAGAGACTGGTACTGGGCAATAATGGGCCATTTTCAAGACGAGGAAACTGAGTCAGATTGACTTCCTCAAGATTCTCATCCAGGAAATAGGAGAGCTGAGATCGAAGCCCAAATCTGTGTAATTTCAAAGCTCTAATTACTTCATTTGGCTCACAGGCAGGGTGTTGGGGCAAAAAAGACACCATTCATTCATTCGCCACTCACTCATTCACCAATCACTGGCTGAATTTGACTTGTCCTTTGGTATACACCTTGCAATTCTGGGTACCTAAAACCATGGATTGTCAGAGCAGGGGGATCACTGAGAAATCTGATTATCACTTCCATTTTACAGATAGGTAGCCCGAGGCTTAGCGAGGGGAAGGGGCTTATGCTGGATTACACAAACAAGGGCAGAACTAGGAAATCTCTTGATGTTCTATATTCTCCACCCCTCTTAAACGCTGTGTGGATATTTCCCTATGGCCTACCTGAAAGATGGTCATCTGTCTCCTGCTTGTGTATACTCAGTGACAGGGAGCTCATTACCACCCGAGGCCACCTGCTCCCATTATTGTTCAACTGTGACTACTAGGAAGTTCCTCCTTATATTGAACTAAATGCCATTCGGTTCAGTTATTCTTACATATACTACAATATTTATTGAACACCTGCTTAGTGCCAAGTGCCGGGTGCTGGGAAATTCAATGGTGAACAGGAAACGGTCTCTTGTCGGTGGAACTCAGAACAGGCTGTGATCATAAGTAAGACATGCTCAGTGCTATGACTGGAGACCATTCTGGATGCACCTGGCCTGGGCGGAGGGGAGGAGGGATCCTGGAGGAAGCGATTTTAAGGCTGAGAAGATGACTGGGAAGTAGGAAGGTGAAGAGAGGGAAGATGGGAATTTCTGGCAGAAAAAGCAGCATGTGCAAAAGCCTGGATGTTTACAAAGGGTAGTGTTTGGGGCAGTATTTAAGTATTTACATTGACCAGAGCAGAGCAGCATACAAGGTGGGGAGGCGAGTGAGATTAAAGGGGCTGGGACCTTGCTTGGCCACACTAAGGAGTTTGGACCTTGTCTATTTCCCCAAATAAACAAATTAATGAACAAGGGATGGCTGAGGGTTCCACATCCTCTGTTCCAAAGGGACCAAGTGATTCCAGTGTTTGTGTCCAAATTGGAAACCCCTGGCTATCGCCCCTTGGCCCTCCACCTGGCTGGGCAGGCCTTACTTAGTCTGGCCTGGCCCTGCCGAGCTTTCCTTGGGAATGTCTATATATAGGGGAAGGGGGCAGCCCAGTTGCCACTGTCCATCTGCCTTCCTTGGTGACCAGCTCCCCTTTCCTGGCCCCAGATCCTGTTCTCAGTTGTCTCGGTGCTCTTTCTGTCACTTAGCCACTGTCCATGAGCCTTGCCTACTCCCCAGAGCCCAACCCGGACCTTCTGGATTCTCAGGGTGGGCTCCGGGCTCCCTTTGGACTTGGTCTGCCCCACCCTTTACCCTCCAGATGACCAGCTGAGCTCCTCCAGATTTCCTCACTGAGCTCTGTCTAGGCAGGGGCCGGTTGCCCCTTTACCACTTAAGGAACTTTCCCGTGCCCGGTCCCCAGCCCCCCTAAAAATGAATCCCAAACACCCTTTCCCTGGAGAAGGTAACTTTGGGAGATGCTTTCACTGACTATTTCTCCTCCAAATGCACACCGCCCCCCATCCATCCATACGCTTCTCCTTTTGGACAGGTCCCCCAAGGACTCCGTGCCCACTTTCCCCCAGTCAGGATTCATAGTAAGAATCGCCAACATGACTTTAGACCTTTATGATTTACAAAGCTCTCCAGTCAAATAGCAGTAATAATAGTTGCTATCTCATAGGACGAGTATTAAATGACAACCTATGGTTAAAATGCTTAGCAGGGTGTGGCACATCATAGAGGTTCAATAAACGGCGGCCTAGCCGTTCTTCTACCACTTCTGTCCTTTGCCCCTTATCATGGTTCAAAGACAGGACATTCCATGGGCCAAGCACCAATGCCATGTACCTGGCACAAGCTGGGTGACTTGTACTGGGCTCCTATTTCTATGGTCTGTCTGTGAAGGAGACCCCACAGAGAGGTCCATCTCATACGCGAGGAAACTAGGCTCTGAGCAGCATCACCACCTGCCCAAAGTCACATAGCTTGCTGAGGCAGGCCCTGGATCCTGGGTTTCGGACTTCAGGGCTGTGCTCTTCCCATTCCACCATGCTGCTATTCCGATCGTCCTTACCCATCTTGCAGCCAGTGTGCTTCCTGGGTGGGTGGGGGGGTGGGGGCTGGCTCTCTAAGGGAGTGGATCAGGGCAGGCCCTCCTCACAAGAATCTAGGACGTCAAGTCCTGCCACCTGCTCAGAGGCTTAAATTTCTCTGCAAGGGCCCTTGGCTAAATTAGGTAATGGGCTAGGACTCTGGGAGGGGTGGGGCTCGCTGACCCCTGGATCTGATTGGGCAGGGTATCCAGTGCTGGGGAGCAGGGAGGTGGGAGGAGAGGGTGCCCCTATAAATCCTGGGGGGTGGGCCAGGGCATCTTTGGGTGCTGGAGTGCAGAGGAGGTGACCCATAGCAGAGGAGTCCCAGTGACCAGCAACCATGGTAAGGATAAGAAGGGACTTCGCTGTTTCACTCGCTGGAGCATTCTGGGCTTCTTTCAAGCCAGACTTGGGTGCTCTGTAGGGCAGTAACTTGGGTGTTTGAAATTATATGAAGATTCCTGGAACCCAGGTGGCTTGGAGGAGGCCTAGGAAGAAGGCCTTTGACTTCTCTTGCAAGGGGAGGGCTGGGTGTTCCAGGGATCAAACCTCAAGGCTTGCAGATTCCCTGCCCACCTTCTGAGACTTCCAGCAACATCATTCATAGAGCTGTGAGGGGCTCTTAGCTTGTCTCCTTCATAGTAGAAATGGGGCCCCTGATAGCTGGAGTGAGTCACCCCACCGCAGGCCAGGGGCAGGGGTGGGCTAGAAGCCCAGCCGAACCTTCCTGCTGTCACTGAGAGAGGAAAGCCTCCTCTAGAAGGTGGGAGGCCTGAGGTCCTGGAGCCAGCCCTTGTGCAGGGCTCCAAGAGCCTGAGGGTGACGGGGAAGGGGCAGAAGAGGACAGACCAGAGTTAGAGACCCCAGGCTCCCAGAGAGGGTTCTGATGTGCCGCTGTTATTTTCTTTTGATATTTCCCCCTCCCTACTTTACTTCAAGGAGTAACTAGACCCCAGAGGCAGCTGCTGTTGTCCATGCCTGACTAAAAATAGCCTGGCCCCCTGGCCTGCAGAAAGGGGAGGGGAGGAGGAAGGGGGAAAAGGAGAAGGGTTGGCAGCCAGCCTGCTGAAGAACTCCTTGGACGCCTCACCCCTTCCTCACCGACAGCCTCGGTCCACAGCCCTCCACCCAGATGGCCTGGCTGGGATGCAAACTGGAAACCATCCCCGAAATCTTATTTTCACTCCAAGGCCTCTATGCCATTCTACCCGGCATGAGGTCTTTACTCCAATGACTGAATCTTAAGAAGGAAGCTTAAAATCTCCATCCATGCAAATTTTTTGTGGCGAGGGATGCTGTGTCCCGTCTCTTCCTGGTGGTCCCAGTGCCTGGTCCGTGGCCTGACACTT